GGGTCGGCAGAGTAGGGGCGATTCGAATTGAACGCATGTACCTGATGAACGGAAACAGCACGACACGATTGAACGACGTTTCTCACCGTCAGATTCTCCATGTGTGTGCCCATTGTTCTTCCAGTAGATCCTCAATGCTTACCTGGAAACGCCAGTCAAGACCATACAGCACTACACCTTACCGGCGGTCACAGCAGCGATTTCCTCAACATTCGGAGCGCCTGGAGAGCCGCTAGTCCTGCAAGGACGTAGACTGCTCTGGTCCAGCAGTATTTCATGCTTGGGTTCGAGGAAGCACTCCTTGAGGGTCTTCAGAGGGCATATGTAACGCTGAGCGAAACAAGCCCTCGTGATGAATCAAAATGCACGAGGAGCTACCGTGAAGTAGTCGTCGTCGGGCCCAGAAATTCCCATCCTGGGATAACCGTCCTCAATGTCACCTTCTAGATAGAACATCCAACTGTGGCCCACAGATAAGCGAATGAACGCCCCAAGCAGAGCGACGTGGAAGATACTACTCGGGACTAGAAACATAAGGGTGTAGCGAAAGGAACTAAGCGATACCCACAGGGGGTTGCTGTGAACAACTTATCAATGCGAACAAATCGCACGTGACGGGGCTGTGACAGTTTTCTTCGCACAAGGGGCCGTTTCGGCGAACGATTGCGTTTGAAGCGCGCGCCCAATCGAGTCGATCGGATTGAAATGACTTCTGAATGTGGCCTTGTTTCCCTCAATTGGGAAGCTCCGAGCTTCAAGCTCGTATGTATATTCGCATTCCGCTCTATCAGTGGTTATATACATTAAACAGATGCATATCGTAAGAGCATTATGCAGTCCCAAAAGTAGGCGAATAATGAGCCGTAACACAATAATGGTTATGCGGAGAAACGACGATAATATGCGCGCCGAATAGCGGATCGATAGTCCACAAGTATCTTCGAAAACGTTATCAATGACGTTACAATGATCGCACACTCTACATTCTCAGTGCGTTCTCCAAAAAACAGTTCGCGCTTCCCCTCCCATGCATTGACAAGGCCCTTGTCACAAGGCTTCACCCCCTTGTCACAAGGGGGTTTAACCGTAAAACCCTTAGTTACTTTTGATTAAAGAATATTGAATCAAGATGACTTCCGCAGTGTGGGTGCCTCCCACTGAAAAGGCAGCCTTCAACGTCTGATTGCTGCTGTTACTCTCTCTTACTCTCTATGGCGGACGCACTACACCGTGTAGTCTACACGTCTTCTGTCAGCGACAAGATTTGGAGTCCAAATTTCGGACTCCTCTATCCAGGAATTATCTTTGGATGAGTATTTTGGAGAGTGTTAAGACGTGACACCTTTACTGAGACAATTCCCCGCGTTGACAACACCTATGATCGATGCCACATAGGATGTAGTCTCAACATAGTTGAAGCGTCTTACACGGACACAATTTCGACGGATACAAAAAAAGATAAGTGAGCGAACAACCCAAATACCTCCCCAACAGAGCTCACCTGAGCGATGTTCCTCATTCATTCTTCGATGAAGAGATAGTCAACAAGGAGCCGGATGACTCCTCATTCTATCCCACGGAAGCTCCTCAGGCAGCAGGATTTGCACCTGAGCGAAATAATTCGCATATTACTTGCCAAGTGATAATATCGAGTGTCACTTGGCAAGCGGCACTTGGTATTACCAAGTGAGCCAGCCCAAGCGGATCTTTCGTGTCGGTAGACCTGCGTGGCATAATTTGCGTCCACTGATTTAATTCCCAACGTGGAGAATACCAAAAATTTACACTAAACGTAGGATGTCCACGCTGGACAGGGCCAGCCCTAATGAGAAAAGATTCATGACCTCAAAACTCACGAACACCTTCAGCAAACTCTACATCTTTCGCCGCAACGGCCGAGGAAACGACTGTGAGGCGATAATGGCATTATCACAATGCATTATAACCCGTGATGAATCGCTAAGATTCATAGCTTTCTACTCCCCATCGTAGTAGTCTGAGATCCTCGACTTGAGAAGGTCAAGTTGAGAAAGCATGGTAATCATTCACCTATCTCTGACAACCTCGATTAAGTGTCAATGGCGGGCATGGTTCATGTGTAGAGATGAAGGTACTCTTACGACGAAAATAATCTGCTAACACCTCTGAGTAATCTGTTTTCGAAATCAGATGATCTGGTCATCATGATCATGTTGCCGTCGTCTGAGTAGACTAGCAAGTCTCGAATCTCCGACAGCCCTCAGTCCGGTGAAAAAGCTGATTACAATCTTCGTGAGTAAGGTCAACACAGGGTTGATCCAGCCCTCAATGCCGCCCTTGTGCCCCATATACCACAGTTGTCTCATCAGGGAGACTTTGGTCAAGATGTAGAAGCGCCTCTGATACCTCCAAGAACTCCTTCATCCGCCAAGTATTCTATGCGCACCATAGAGTGAGTGATGATTCCTAGAATTGACCCCAGATCTTCACTTCGGCAAATCCGCATCACGAAGACTAGGACCAGCCATACTCTGGCTGTTTGAGTGGGAAATCGACCAGTGGTCGACGACCATACTAGATTTGTGTATGTGACCATCCCTCGAAAAGAGAAACGGCGTTCGCTATCAACCAGCTGGGACCCCCAGCCTGGGAACTTGTCCGTCGGCCGCCGAAGACGGATTCATGATGAATCATTCATTCATTGGAGTGCAAGTTGCTGCAACTTGCACTGTGCAATATCATAATCATACCAACGCTCACAATGATCACACAATTTTTTAGGTATCAAATGAACCTTCCGCTTTACCGAGCGTGAATTCCACCACATATATCGCTCGGTTCAACACAAGGTCGATCCGACCAGGTGGAGCCCGGAATGAATGTCATCCATTGGGAATCAATGATCGCCCAACGAATGAGAATTGAGCACTCGAATTGCATATATCGCCATCTGGGATGACTCATCCCAGACAACGCTACCTTGACAGTCAAGGTTTGACTTGCTCTGAGAGCATTGCTCTCCACTCGCTGTTCCTACCTCATCGTCATTCACGGTACGTCACAATACCGGCCCCTAATCGTCGAACGGCAACGTGTCACTTGAACATGGTCCAACACCCACTGAAATCGGTGACTTGCGATACCTGACGAAGGCGAATATGATCCCAATGACAGTGTTTTAATGCAGAGGATCACGTCGCTCACCCGTTAATAACCAAAGCAAGATGAACAACGATGTATCGAGGATGATGATAGAGGATCAAGGAAGCGTATGTAGAGTCCACATGGTGGATATACATTGTGAGGCGGCCTCACAATGGGCCTCACCGAGGCCCATTGTGATGGCTACGTAGACAAGTCTACAACGTAGAGTGCATATGCCATATGCTTGATAATAGTGGAGCGAGCGAAGCGAGGAGAGCGTACCCCCTCATTCCACGATGATTTTGTGCATGCGTGCGTGGGTGTGCATACATACGTATGCAAATGTCCGATCAATAACTCGATTTAGAGCAGATATGAAAGTGAAAAGATTATCACTCGGTTTGAGTTTGCAGAGAATTGAAACCTCATCAGTACTCATTATATACTCTCATCAGTCACTGCGTGGATAACCACTAAGACATGACCGTGTTCAAAAAGACATTAGTGGGGTTCGAACTTGCAGCTTCTTCGATTAGCGAAATACGCGAGCTTCGCCCTTTCTCCCAGAGGCCCTCTGGCAGAAGGCCTAGTCGGAGGATAATCCCTCCCTTCGCTTCTTCATGCTAATTTTCAGTCGTCGCGACTCCCTCATCAGCGCTCAAGGTCGCATCTAAAGCGAGTCAGCGATCTTGTGCATCAACCAGGATAGAAGCTGATACAGGAATCGATTTAAACAAGATAGATTGGCCGGATCTGTTCCTCATCAAATGAGGCGCTGAGATCCTCCGACTCAAACACAGCTCTCCAAGATTCACACAGTCATTCACATGTATTCCAGTGTTTCATTGCATATGGCTCATCCGACTAACTCGCGATAGACGGACTAGATGGATTCCTGGATATCGCCAGGTTCACTAGCAGCAGCGGGTATCGACGCAGTTTCGCAGCGTTCGAGAAGCTCATTCGCTTGTTAGTGAGGTCGAAGTTCACGTCGTAAGCTCGGAAAAGAGGATATCCTATGACCGGTGCCCAGGAAGCTACATCAATCACGCACCACATAGTGTTACAGGAGTGGGAATAATGTCTGGGCTCTATCCTGATATCGATCGTATGCGGTGGCTGTCCGACCTCATAGCTGAGCGTAGGCAAGTAGGCTACAGCCTCTCTTCTCACCCAACGGACAAAGTTATGCTCTGTCACGAGTTGCGCCTTCTTTTTGACGATCCTCTCCGCCCTGCTCCTGCACATCGCCGTCCAAGTCACGTCGATGAGCTTTTCGAAATCACGATCGGAGAGCTTTACCGTCGAAGTCCCCGAGTCCACAATAATTGCATTCCTTTCGCCGTCCCTCCGACGCTCCTTTAATTGCATACCACGAGAATCGAGAAGTCCGAGTGGGCCCATCATGACTGATGTTTTTGCCTTACCGTACACCTTCTGCCGGCTGAATGGTATGTAAAAACCGTTGTTCGTCGCCGAGTCATCCAGAGTCAGCCTCCCCGAGATGCCAGGTCCTTTTTCACTAACGTGTATTGAGTATGAAAGGTTTTCTATAACACCTCGCTTCTTGAGCTGTTCCAGTATCGTGTCAGGGAGGTTGTCGCGGCCGAGCGAGAGTCCTAGCAGAGCCATCGGCCTTCTTCCTATATTTGAAAATTCCAACACCAAGCCGAAAGAGAAGTTCTCTAGTGTATGATTGCCTATATCGATGGTCACTGTATGCTCGACATAATTGTAGATGGTGCCAGAACCGTAAATCGCCCTAAATCTTCTCCTAGAGAGCAGGTCATCGCAAGGCTTCTCTGGAGGACAGAAGTAGCACCCGTAAAGACTCTTATCACAGCTACCCCTACCGAAGGTTTCCTCGTACGATGGACCATAGAAAGCATAGCTCCTTGCACTGCCGGAATCTGCCTCGAAGTTGAGTGTTTGGCCGTCGAGGCTTACAGACACGAGCCCTTCAGCTAACGGAAGGACTATTGGCTCTCCAGCAGTGAGAGCAGAGAATATCGCGGGGAGAAGAATCCTCATGAATGACTTATTCGGAATAAGGTCAGCTGGATATAATGACAGCATGGAGCTCGTAAACAGCGATACGTAGATGGTCACAGGATACGCTAGTATGCGAGTAATGCGTGCTTGAATCCTCGGAAAATATACAGCGCTCGGAAACGACTATCTCGCGTCTCGTAACCGCGATGGCCGTCACTCGAAGATTCCGCCGAGCCACTCGAAAATGCTTCTTCCACCACACTCCTCAGGAAAAAGTTTAACCCCTCGAGCAATTGGGATCTGATTTGGTGGACATTCGAAAATCACTGCGTGTGATGGACAATCGAGGACTCGACTTAGCCTCGCATAAGGTTCCTCCTCGGTCGAATACAGTCTAATGAGGAGCATTTCCTACTCAT